AAAGTGATATTCCAAAACAGTGCATCGTTGAGCAGCATTATAAAATCTCCGTAGGACAAAATTACGCACTCCTAAGCAATTCAGGAGGCCCGAAAGATAAGCTCTAGGCCAGACAAGTATAGAAAAATTGCTGATAAAGTTAGATATGAACGTGCCTTAAAACCGATTACGCACAAATAATGCCAGTGTGAAATAGTAACTACACAACCTTTAATTGATAATAAAATATAATAAATAGCTATTGTAGAGTAAATTAAAGGTAGGCAGTGAATTTTCCCTATTATCAGTCGTAGATTGACAACTAAAATATATGTTAAAGTAGGAAGATACTGTAATCCTTTGTACATGTTCGAATGAAGATTGAGTGAAGCCAAATCGATATTCAAAAGTTTTCAAGCATCTCATAGAAGTGCAAACTTAACACCAAAGTACTTCCACCAAAGATAAATCTCTTCGTAATAGGTCGAAGCATAAAGCGATAATTAGATCTAGTGTTGTCAAAGTATTGCATAGACCAGCCAGCAAAGAATAGGATAGAGAAATAGTTTAGCCAGCAATACAACAATTTTGAAGCGGAGAAATTCAAACATGGTAGTATACTTCCATTTCGCATGAAAGTGCATTATGAAGAGATTCATAGGTCGATCTCACCAGAAGAGAACAGACGATTCTCATTGTACTGCAATCGTTTGGCCATAATACAAATATCAGTTTGACGCAGTCCACGAGAGATCCTGCCACGTTTCCCCTGATACGAAGTAGGATGTCTCGTGGACTGCGTCAACCCCAAAGTCGTATTAAAGCTAAACGGCTAGATTACAAGAATTGGCCGTCCCCTTCTAATGAGATCGACCTACGAATCTCTTCATCATGCATTTGTAAACGTAATGTAAGTCTCTGCAACAATGAAGTCCCAGGAGATTCATCGAAACCTGCTTTTCATAGTAAATTAAAGTATGGTAGTTTAAAAACAGTTAATTACCAAAAATAATGAGAAAAAAAGATGCTAAAGTCCAAGAAAAAGGCCATATCAAGAACGAAGGCTGGAAGGAGGGTAAAGCAAAGCCTTGAAGGGATTGCACGATTAGACCAAGAAAATAACGTAGTAGTAGTAAAATGGCTAGGTTTCTCGCTAATACTTTAAACTTCAGGCAAATTCAAGTTCCTTCCCCTGAATGTATTCAAAGTCGGAGATTAGAGTTTTGTAAAAAGGTGGATAACTGTCATTAGTAGGACGATTCGAAGATCCAAACAAGATAAAAAACTATTTTTAGAAGTAGGAAAGTATTGGTAACTGTAACTTTAAACAAAGACTTATGTATGCAATATCGAGTTATTCTATACAAAAAGGATATGAATCTTAGATTTCGTATTGCCGATACTCAGTGAGCGTGATTCGAACTCTACCAAATTCAAGAAGTATGTTTGTTAAAGATGGTCCGTAAAACATAATTTGACTTCTAGAAAAGAGTAGTCAGAAACAGAAATAAGGTAAGGAAGTATCAAAAATTTAGCAACATGGCGGCTTAAAGATACTCACTAAAATCTTTTTTTTGTATTCACATCTGCCCTGTGACCCAAGGGCACTCGCGGCAATGTAGCCGATTGGTTAACGTCTCAAGCTCACATTCTGCACTGTCACGATTCGACTATCGCTGGGGGTGTTAATAAGACCGATGCGAGGTCGAAACTGTAATCCACTCTGGATGAGAACAACTTTTGAGAAAGCAAGGCTATGTGAAATGCAATGGAAACGTCAGCTCTACTCATATCATTGTGGGAAAATTCTACCAGTCCTTCATCACTTTAAACGAAATATAGTGAATATATCACCTAAAATCTTTTGTTCAAATAGGATTTTGAACAGTTTCGTGTCAATCAAGTGTCATGCCAAATAAATAGTAAAAATGTGCGTATTTGTCACAAAAGCAAAGCAATAGGTTAATAAACCAAACCATAAGCCAACAAGAAAAAACTCCATCAAACAATGATCCCTCTTAAAGCATATGTCGAGAATTCAGATTTAAAAAGGTCTGGCTATGAAAAAAAAGCCAGAACAATGCCTGTTGTAAAAGTGATGCTATATGAGGAGTGAAATCACAAAGCTGAGAAATATCCTTGGTGAAAAACAAACATAAGTAGGAAAATGGAATATTATAAGCCTAAAAACCCTTATTCGACATAAGATAACTGTAGGAACCTAGGAGCATAGACACGAAAATTAAAAATTAAAATATAAATGCAAACGAGTAGTGGTCTAGAATCCAAAGCTGTCTTCCATATTTTCTTTCTAGATCAGATCCGATAGAAAAAGCCCAACTCTGATCGCGAAAAGTTCTCCATGAAGTAGAAAGAATAATCAAACTTTATGGAGGGGACTTTCGATAAATTAACTAGGGCCAAAGTCCCATTAAAAAGATGATTATGCTTTGCTATATCATGACAAGCTATTAACAATCTTCAGATAAATTTCAGACTTCAAAGCTGAATTCAGTTTTTAACTTATAGCTAAGAGCAAGTGCTCTTAAGCACAGAAAAAAGAGTACCATAGAGCAAGTTTGGTTAATACACTTAATGAGCACCTAGCGAGCACCGCAAAAATGAAACGATGATAGAACGATACGAAAGTTCCGGGATAAAATTTGATAAAAAAAAAGTCCACTTAACATATTAATAATAGAGTAATTAATCTCCCTCTGATCACAAGGCACGAGGGTTAGGTAAGTGAGAATAAAGAAAACATAAAGCCGTATTTACCGAAGCAACCATTTTGACAAATTGCCGACTGTTCACAAAAACAGGCATACAGATAGTTAGGATCGTTACATGGGTTCAAGTTAACTTATGAGAATATAAGCATCCCTTCGAAGTCTAGAATAGAGAATAGCCACAGCCGTACAAAAATGTAGTCCGCGCCCAGAATAATTTCACATTGAAAAAGGATCAGACAATAATAAATCTAGAAGCGTGACGTTTTGGTAACGCAGTAAAACCTCTGTGGGTTTATTATGCTTTTAACGTACCTTGGCTTGCTAATCTTGATAACTGGATGTTTGTGGTCTTTCATTTAAATAATCGTGACTGGATGAAAGCTGTAGGACGGTGAGCCGAGATCTTCTACACACAAACCAATAGTGGCAAGTCCAAGGTAACCCTCCTTCGGTGTTTGGTGAGGACAATTAACGAATCCTTTCTATCCGCCTTTTCAAACGAAATAGAAAGTATGCTAGCATCACTCCTCTAAGAAATTCTTCGAAACCTGGCTTTTCATATTCAATAGCATGCTGGCTCGCTGGGTAGACGATGGAAGTGTCTGGCCATTAATAAGTGTGTATGAGGGCCTAGAATCTAAGAATTAAGTTTATGACAAGAAATACCTGCTTTGAGATAATGAAACAACTCTAGTGAAGTTATCTAGCATCTATCCATTGCAATCCCAGTATGAACAAAGAAAAATTGTCTTCTCGATAAAAAAAATCGAGGAATTAGCGCATAACCAACTAAGTATCAACCAATCTATCTACCGGTAGTAGGGGTGGCAAAATAAGCTGAATACAAGCCGATTTGAACAAGCGGTTCATGGATAAGCCTACAAAAATGTAGATATTCGAAAGATTGGAGAAATTTTAAGCAAAAAAAACTTCGTTCAGGAAAAAACTCCAATGAATTGAAATCAAGCATTAGGTAGTTAAACAAATAACGGATTTCAGGGAGACCTATCAGAAGGAAAAGCGGCAAGTCCAAGCAAAAAGTAATAGAAGAGAAATATTGAAGGCTGGATAAAGAAGATACGAACAGACGCTGGATTTGGAAAAATCCCTCAATAAATTAAGGTAGCTGTAAATTGAACTTTATTCGAGAAGATAGGGAAAAAAGGATCCCCAAAATGACCTTGGTGGTCCTCCTTTCTTAGGGTTCTGGCCAGGATAATTTATGAATCCCGCTCGCCTTTTCAAAATGAATCTAAGGCATAACAGGATAAAAAGAGGAAGTAGAGAAGCAATATTTCCCAGAACATCGGATAATATAGCAGGAAATAGTTTATAAATAGATTTGGCAAGAGGAAAATAGTTATCTTTCCAAAAATCTTAGTGAAATTGATGAGCATCAAAGTTGGTAGAGGATGCTAATCGTACGCTCGCAGACACATGCACATATAGATGGGGACGAGAAAACACACATGCAGGAATAGGCGCGAAAGCAGGCAGAAATGGACACATAAATGATATGGACAAGCGAGCATTCAAATGCACACGTGCACAGCTGCATAAACCGGCAAACCTAAAGAAAAGCATATCAGGGATGAAAAGATTTCAGAAGCGCCATGATAAATTGTAATCATTTCGGAGGGAGCATCGGCAGTAAACACAGCGAAAAGGGATTTTCCTTACCATACAGAAAGAGCCGGATTGTCTCGAATCCTCTGCGACAAGCTCATTCGAGCCAGCGTCCAGAGGATTTTCAGCTTTCGGCTCGCTTGGCTCGAGCTTAGCACGCTTTGCTGGACTTTGCAAGAAAATGTCTGACTTTGTAGACAGACCACTCCCGACACCGCTACAAACAGGCCCACCAGACAGGAGACTCGGGTCTCCTGCGGCCCTATACAAAGCCGAAAGACGAGTGGGATCAAGAAAAGCCAAGCCGGAGCAGGCAGGCCATGGTAAATGAGGCCAGGAGCGAAAAGGCAATCGGTTTGAGTGAGAAAGAAGCGATGGCTGTGATGGCGTTTGGGAGAAGGAAATTGACGAGTGCGGATAGACGGTGGGACCAGGAGGACACGACAAGGGCAACGGCGGTACAGCTAGAGGTGTTGATGGCGCTATCGGTCCCCTTGAGAGGCCCGCTGTGGGGACTAGGGGCGCCCAAGGAGACAAGTCGCCAGGACGTGACAGGCCAAATGCAGACGGTCCAGACGAGAAGGGTCCGGCGGGCAGACGGCCCGGCCTGAGGCCGGCGCGCGGGGCTGCCGCCAACATGCTGGGCGTCATTAGAGAGGCAGCGGCCGCAGCCGACATAAAAACAGCGGACTGGGCAGTCGAGAAGGCTGTAAGGGCCGAATTGAGAGGAATAGCACCTTCTGATTGCCCGAGTGAGCCGACAGAGACGGACACCGTTTGGTGGGCTCCGGGAGGACGCAAGTCGCAGCAGGCGGTCGAGGTTAGTGCGGCCTGAGCCTCAGATTCGCATGGAAGGCTGGAGATAGAGGCAGTCAACTGGCCGAGGGGTCCAAGCGCCATGGCAGCAGCTGCCTCGGCCGAGTGAACAGACGTCAGCCTTGACAATGGGGGAAATAACAGACCGGCAGATAGGTTCGGTGGCCGGCAGGGAAGAGCCGAATTGTGCTGATGCTGCTGTAGCAGTTGGCCTAATTTGACCTCCAAATTGAAGTGATAAGTGTCGCTACCGCTACCACCCGCCCCACCGCCTCCTCCACCACCACCACCACCACCACCGGTGGCACCGCCGAGAGTGGGAGCAGATGCAGAGGCAGAGGAGGAAGAAGAGCGAGGTGAAATACCGGGAGAAGATGAGGTCGAACTGGCAGAGGCGGTCCGGTACATCGAGTTGACGCAAGAAGAAGGCATAACAACTAGGCCAGGACACGAATGAGATCCGGTTGTTGTCTGCGCAAAATTACTGGCCGGCCCGACAGACAAGAGGCCGGCCGACGAATTGCTGCTGCCAGAGCCCAGTGGACGGGGACTGACGCCTATCTTGGCCGGATCACTGGAAAGTCGCGGGCTAGAAGTCTCAGTAAGCTTGCTGGATGGGTACAAACCACTGGAAATTCCGGGAGAACACGAATAAGATTGTCCAGAAGAGGTAGCATCAGTTGAGGCTTGGCCCGATTGATAGGCTTTAAATCGCAAGTTGGGCAGGTTAATATTGTGCTTGCGAACAAAGTCACAAAGCGAAGACTTGGCCAAGTCGTACTTGAGCGCGGCTCGGCGCATTGAAATGCGCTGATCGATAACATCACGTACGGCTAATATCAATAGCTCCCGTCGTTCACCAGGTTTATGCCGAGGGCGTCGGACTCCACTCGTCAGGCCTCCGGCTGGCCGCCCCACGGACAAGCCGGCGCCTAGGCGATTCGATTTTGCCGACGGACCAGCGGCCAAAACCGAGGAGTTTTGGGAGAGAAGCCTTCCGTTTCCGGACAAGGGGAATTGGCACGTCGGCTTGGACACCTTAGAGGCGCCGGGAGTCGAGGAGGATGAGGCGAGAAGGGCAAATCTTGATACCTTCGAAGTTGCTTTCGAGATGGTGCCTTGAGAGGTGAGAAGAGGTGAAAAGGAATCGAGGCAGGCGATCGGCTCCCTCGGAGGCGATGCAACAGAGGATGCAAATGTAGGAGTATTGGATCCTGATGCGCCGCCAGTCGACCGTCTTCCAGAAGACCCGAGGATCGGACAAACTGTCAGGGGAGAAGGGCCATTTTCTGATTCGTCATCGTCGTCATCTCCTTCCTCCTCTCTGCTGTCCTTCTTATCCTGGTCACAGTGACTTGATGAAGAGTCGGAGCTCTTTGCATCCCCCTGGTCGGCGCCAGCCATGTCTGATGGACAGCTTGTCTTTCCATCTCGGATCTCCTCTTCTTCCTCTTCATCTTCCTCCTCTTCCTCTTCCTCTTCTTCTCCGTCCTCTTCTCCGTCCCCTTCTCCGTCGTCTTCATCCTCCTCCTCCTCCTCCTCATCTTCATCTTCTTCCTCACCTTCAGTCCCCTTTTTCTTTCCATGGTTGGTAAAAGGTGTACTCGTCGTTTCAGATGTCGACTTAGGAGAAAGTCCATTCAATCCGACGGTAATGTTAAGAGTGTCCGGCGTTCCTCCTATGCGTCCAGTTCCCATGATCCCTTTGCTTGCAGCCTCGGCCATTGCCTTCCACACTATTCACCGGCAGATTACCCAGAACTGAAGAGTCGGGAGAGAATCCTGAATAGGGGTTCAGGTGGACGGCCACAAAATAAGGGCTCGACGGTCGACAAGGTGCAAACGGGGAGATTGGCTGAGATTGACAATATTGCGCCAGAAGAACAAATCGTCAATGAATGCGTCTGACTGCGTGGTTCTTTCATACACTCGAAAAGCCTCGCCTAAACATCCCTATCTCCCCCCTCCCATTAAGTTGCTTGGCTAAAAGCCGAAGAGACGAGGAAAGAGAGAGATGTTGAGCTGTGCACAGATGAAGCGCCAAGCGATCAGACAGGGCAGAATGAAGAATAGGACAAATGCTGACGCAGTCAAGATGAGGCGAGCCAGAGAGGCGTAGTCGCTTCATACTCACGTCTGGTGATATACAGGCCTTCCGCGTACTCAGAGAAGCGGTCAGTGCCGAGGCGCGCAGCCAGCCTGACTGAGTGCCAGGCCATAGTGGCAGATCAGGCCGTAGACCTGGCGAAGCTTGTCTGATTATGGCACGCGGTACCGGGTTGCTAGGGTGTTGAGGGTGCTAAGGCTGTTGGACCGATGGATCGGCTGTAAGCGCCTGACGGGCACAAAGTCGTCTACCTCTGCCGGATGGTTGCCGTCGCAAGGATAGTCCGTAAGTGAACTGTGATCGTGTAAGCGTTGAGAGAGGCCAGTCACACTCAGTCAGCCGCACAAACCGCCTGTATGTTCGTTTTTAGCATCAAACCACCCCAGTTCGCGAACGCCATCACCACAACTACAAAATTCGACAATGAGCAATGGCTGTGATCACTCAGAGATCTACAGTAGTGGTAGAGCATGGATGGTTGTGGAGACAACTAGACGTAGGTATCATGTGCACAGTTATTCACATATACGAGTTAATACAAGAACTCAAGAGTGTTGCTTTCCTTAGTCAGCTTGTCTGGGGCCAATAGAGACGGGTTAGGAGTGTACAGGTGTGTCAGTGTGCCGATGCATTCGTGTACAGAAGGGCCGTCTTACCTTGGGTCTACGGCGGTGAGGATGTAGGCTCATTAAGCGCTTGATCCAACGAGTTAAAGGCAGAAGGAGGATGTGCTGTGCTCTATTAGGCTGGCAGAGTAGGCAAGTCGGTATGCACACTCTCACGAGCAGAGAGAGTGGAGGAGAGAGAGAGTGTGTGTGTGTGTGTGTGAAAGAGAGGATGTGTAAAAGAACCACAGTGAGAAAGAGAGAGAGAAAGTCCATGAAAGAGAGAGTCTATGATAGAAAAAACGGTATTAGAAAGAGAAGTGTGTTTGAGTGTGAGAGAGAAGAATGTGAAAGTGAGTCAAAAATAAAGTAAGGGTGAGAGTAAGTCAAAGGGGAAATAAGAGTAAAAATGAGAATGAGAGAATGGGAGAAAAAAAGAAAAAAGGAGCAGAAACAACGAAAGGCGAGCAAGTAGGTCGAGTGACGTGTGAAACTGAAACGGCCAGTGGCCCGATGAGGCGATGGTAACAGCGGGGTCGAGGTGTTACGAGCCCGCGATAAATGTCATGGTAGCCGGGACACTGAAAGGTCGGGCCAAATAAGAGAGCGGTGCAAACCAAGGTAGAAGGAGATGACAGAGGGATGAAGAGGAAGTGCAGACGACGAGGCTGCACGGCATCACTGCAAAAAAAGTTACGCGCGATTACAGGAGCGGGGAGAATACGAATTGACAGAATAGTTGTCTAAACGAGCCGCTGGTCGAGACGACAGTGAAGGGTGGGGGCGAGGGGAGGATGAGTTGCAAGATCAGTCAGGCGAGACGAGATCAGTCGTCCTGTCAGGGGCCTAATAACAGAGGCGCAGCAGGGCCGTAAAGCCGCAGGATTTTTCTGCAAATCCGAGTGGTGGAGAGAGGCCGATAGTAACTAGAGCGGGCGACTAAACGCAACCAGGGCCGAAGACGGCGAGAGAGAGATAGAGAGAGTTGACCACCGAACGAATATCAAGGACGTACAGATCCTCAAGAGGCCATCCGATGAACTGGCCGTCCTAAAAAAGAGTAGATCGGTCCAAGTAAAAGGGCGGTGGCAGCAGGCCCATTGAGAGTTGAAGGGGCCCGGAGCCGAGAAGTTGAGGTGTACACCAGAATGATTAAGCGCACACGGTGCGCCTACGAGTGAGCGTGTGTACACATGCACCTTGGTGAAAACACTGGCAAACACAG